TTTACCTCATTATTATTGACTTATAAGAGTTCTTTCTCCCTTTTTTTTTTTTTTTTTTTTTTTTTTTTGAGACATTCCTCACTTATTGATCAAGGTAGATCCTGCAACTAGTTCATTAATAATGGTCACAAAATGAGGAGTTGTATATAAAATGTATATTACAATATTCAGAACAAAGATGGTCAAAGGAAATTCCAACTTGATGACTTTGTTTTTATTTGTATAACTCTTACACGCAGTACTGTAATGTGTAACAGCATAAAGTTACTGTACAATCAGCAAAAATTACAGTACTGTACAAACAAGATACACTGTACCAAACAAAGAAAGAAAAGGATAGGTTGTAAGTCCAAACAGTGCACCTTCGTTATACATCTGAACAGTCCTTAAACAGGTAGGATTTTTTATTTTTTTGTTGTTGGGTTTTGTTTTTTGTCTTTTTGTTTTTTGTTTTTATTTTTTATTTTTTTGTCTTTTTTTGAGATGGGGTCTCGGTACGTAGTTTACGCTGTCCTTTAACTCACTGTAGCCCAGGATGGCCTTGAACCTCCTGACTCAGCCTCCCAGTGCTGGGATTGCAGGCATGTGCCACCATGCCTGGTGTTAAAAGGACTGTGTACGTTGTTGTCTACTAGTTGGGTCCTTTGCCGAGTTAAGAGTCGGTTTCACAAAGTTGGTAGAACCAGTTGGTAGTTCAGCCATTGCTTCAGTACCTTTGGCACCTTCCTTGTGTGACTGCTCTGCAAACCATTTTCTTACGTTTATTAGGCGGACTTCAAGACACAAAAGGAAGCTGTGTGGGCCGTGACCAACTACACAAGCGGTGGGACAGTTGAACAGATTGTATACCTTGTTCACTGTGGTATAATAGAACCATTGCTGAACCTCTTAACTGCGAAAGACACGAAAATTATTCTTGTTATTTTGGATGCTATTTCAAATATCTTTCAGGTAAGCCCTAACAAGGAGGCATTTGTTTGAATTTGGGGTTGGTGGGAACCAGTTTGCTAGGAAGACGGGGCTAAGGAAAGCTAAATTTACTTGCTCCTAGGCCACAGAATCAGAAAACCTGCTTAGGGGCCCGAGTTCTTTTTGAAGAGACAGGGTCTGTTGCCTGGCTGCTCTTGAGTCCTAGACTCCAGTGACTCTATCACCTCAACTTTCTGAGTACCTGGGGCTGTAGGTATGTGACACTGCCCTGCTGGATCAAACTTGGTGAAAGATACGACAGGGGTTATGAGAGATGAAAGGGAGAGAGTGAATGATGCATTTTGGAGTCAAGTGGTTTTTTTTCCTGTTACTGGGAACTGAACTCAAGACCTTGCGCTTGGCAGGCGCTATACGGCTGAGCTATGTCCCCAGCCGTTTTTGATTTTCTGAGACAGGGTCACAGCAACCCTCCTTTCCTACCGTAGCCTCCCGAGTGCTGGGGAATAGCTGAAGTCCACTTCTTAAGTGGAGATTTTCTGTACCTACTTACTTTGTCAGTTATCTTCTCCACTTTTTTTGAGACTGGGTCTTGCTATGTAGTGCACACTGGCCTTGAACTCAAACTAATGGCAGTCCTCCTGGTCCAGCCTCCTAAGTGCTGGGATTACAGGTGTGAGCCCCCACACATGGCTTTTTTTTATTATCTTCCCCAGTTTAATACAGAATTTTGTTGAAATTAAATTCAAGTGACTTAAATTTTTTTTCTTGGTTCCACATTTGGTCAGTACAGCCATGCTGGCACTTTGTCATAGTGATTGATGGTAGGTAAGTCTGCTCATCATCACCTTCTGCACTTTCCATACTGGAGAGTTTGTTCTATCTTTTTGAGGCAGGCTTTTACTGTGCAGTTTAGGCTGGCCTTGAATTCACTTTGTAGCCCAGGCTGACCTCGAACTCTCAGTGATCCTCCTGTCTCAGCCTCCTGAGTGCTGGGATTTCAGGTGGATTCTGGAGATTTTGACTTAGAAAATTGAGTAAAGAACACAGCATGGAAACAGTTTGCCAGTATGTGGCCGGTTTTGCTACTCATCATCTGAATCCCCAAAGTTATTTTCAAGCAAATCAGTTATTTCATTTGTAAATATTTATGCATTCTGTTTTTTTGTCGTCTTTTTTTTTTAAATCTTTTTGAGACAGGATCTTGCTATGCAGTTCAGCCTGGGCTTAAGCTCACTTTGTAGCCCAGGCTGGTCTCGAACTCACAACAATCCTCCTGCCTCAGCCTCCTGAGTGCTGGGGTTACAGGTGTGTGCCACCATGCCCGGCTTTATTTATGTATTCTAAATGTTAAGGATTTTAAAAATATATCTTTATCAGTGTTTTACCTAGTAGATTTTTAATAATATAAACGATTAGGGAAAGTTATTTGTAGCACACCACCACTATTTGCCTTTAGGCAGTGGTTCTCCACCTTGACTACACTTTCAGATTGTCTGAGGTACCGTTGAAAAATAATTCCATGTCTTAACGCAGTCCAATTGACCTGAAGGTAGTTACTTTAGAAGTTGCGTGGGCGATACTTACCTGGCAAGGGAGATACCGTATCATGAAGTTGCTTTCTCAGTGTCAGGCCTGTCCATTGTAGTCCAGATGTGCTGACCTCTGTGATTCTCACGTGTAGGAAACTCGATGGTAGTAGGGAACTGTGTTGATGCTTTGCGCTAAGAGGGAAGAAAGATGTATAGGTAATGTTTTGGGGTATGGTACCAGGGCTCAAACTCGGGCCCTTCCATGCCACACAAGTGCAGTACCACTGAGCGCTGCGTCCCCAGCCCTGCTCAGGTGTTGGGATGCGTGGGAACGGCTGAGAAGTACTCTAATGTGTGTGGCTGAAAGCCACAGTAAAAAGTAGTTGATAGAAAAGGAACAGAGCTAATCACTCTGAAAATTTTAAGAGGCCAGGTGTGCTGGCATATGCCTCTAATCCTAGCACTTGGGAGGCTGAGGCAGGAGGATCACCGAGTTCAAGGCCAGCCTGAACTGCATAGTGAAACCCTGCCTCAAAAAACACCAAAAAAAAGGAAAAAAAAAAATTTTTCAAAAACTATAAAGTAACTCAGGATTATTGAAGGAACTGTTTTGTGGATTTTGGGGTCTCATCTAGCTTAGGCTGGCCTTGAACTCACAGCAATCCTACCTCAACCTTCCAGTTGTTGGAATTACAGGCCTGTACCTTCTCCCTTGGCCAGATGTTTATTTCTGTTACATATTATTATTCAAACATGGATATTATCGTTTTCATTAAAATGGGAACATTCTGAGTATAGGCCAGTAAATGTGGGATTTTTTTTTTTAGGCTGCTGAGAAACTGGGTGAAACTGACAAGCTTAGTATAATGATTGAAGAATGTGGAGGCTTGGACAAGATCGAAGCTCTGCAGAACCATGAAAACGAGTCTGTGTACAAGGCCTCATTAAACTTGATTGAGAAGTATTTCTCAGTAGAGGTAAGTAATGATAATGTTAACAACCTGGAAGATACATAAGAAAAGCCTGGGAAGTTTTTCTTCGGTACTTTGTTAATGAGCCCTGTCCCATCGTTCTGTTACTATTTTGAGACGGGGTCTCACTGTGTAGTTCAGGCTGGCCTGGACTCACTAGTGGTGATCTCCTGCTTCAGCCTTCTGAGTGCTGGGATTACAGGGGTGCATCATCACGTGCGGCCCCATTGTTAAATAGAACAAGATATCAGTGCATATAGAACTTACAAATATTTGCTTCTCTGATAATTAGCTTCATAGTAGCATTTACCCTGGATTTTAAATTCACGAGTTTACTTTCAAATGAATACCCTGGACATCTTGAACAGCTTTAAAAATCATTTTTAAACTGAGTTTGTAGGAGTTGATGGGGAAGGAAACCAACCCCAGGACCATACTTAGGCCCTCATAAGCAGTTTTCCCTTTCCTGATGAAAAGCGACAGGAGAAGAAAATTCTTACTCCTTTGCTGCTGCAGTAGCGTCGTACCTTAACCTATCCGTGGCCTTCTCCCAGGCACTCATGAGTTGCCCAGGTTTTAGCAGCAGCCTCTCACCTTTCTTCTGTCCAGTATTAAGAGTTCAGTTGGGGATTGAAGGTGAATTATGCAAATGAATTTAAGAATACTTACAGCCTTCTAGTCAGAGGGCTGCTCCTTAGAAGTGTACTTGTGGGTTACATTGTTGTTTTTTAATATTTCTAGGAAGAAGAAGATCAGAATGTTGCGCCAGAAACTACCTCAGAAGGCTATACCTTCCAAGTTCAGGACGGGGCTCCTGGTACCTTTAACTTCTAGGTGTACAGCTGAGGGAGGCATCAGTTTTTGTTGTGTACTATGTTCGGTATAAGTTTGTCTGTTTCTCTACTAAGAACTCTTTTTTTTTAAATGTGGTTTGTCATTGTAGCACTTTTTACAACAAAACTATACTTGAACAGTTCCAAACTGTACATACTGTATGAAGCTTATCCTCTGAAGGGGTTTCTTATTTCTATGTGGAATTTCATATTTTGCAGTGTCTTGTAAATAAAGATTAAGTTCCACCCTTTGCTTTACCATGCTACGTGTTGCCTTCTGATTTTGGGCTCATGGTAGATGAACTTACCCAGATTGAGGTCATTAATAAGTGCTTTTTTTGTTCGTTTGTTTTCTCCAGCACCGGGAATCAAACTCGAGACGTTGCATTTGCCAGGCAGGCGCTGGGCCGCTGAACTAAAGCCCAGCCCCTAATAAGTGCTTTTGATGTTATCAGAAGGGCTGACGGCTTTTCTCTTGGCACATTCTGAGCCTCCAGGTTTGGTTGAGGCTGCTTCCCTTCTGAGTAATAATGGCTGCTGGCAGTTACAGACTTTATTCACACTAGACAGACACACTAGACAGCTACCTCTGAAGTCTTTACAGAGGCTGTCAGCCCGTATCTCCCTACGTCTTCTTGACCAGGAAGATGGGCCTTTTTTTGGAGGGGGGTGGTACCAGGAGTCAGACTCAGGGACTTGTGCTTGCCAGGCAGGTGCTGTGCTGCTTGCTGAGCCATATGTCTGGCTCATTCATCTTAAAGTTTAATCATGTAGGCTGTGTGTAGTGGTGCATACCTGTAATCCTGACACTCAGGAGGCTGAGGCAGGAGAATCTCAAGAGTTTTAAGGCCAGCCTGGGCTACATAGTGAGGCCCTATCTCAAAAGATAAAATCACAAAACGTTAGCTATAGTACCCCATAATCCATAGGAAAACAGAGTCAATCTTTAAAGTACTGTGATCAGTTTCTATTCATTGATGAGTAGAAAAATGAGCCAACCTTCCACTGGTGGAATCTGGTGCTTTGACAGCCATTTTACCCATAGAAGCCGTGGTAGTGGAGGTGGGGAAGTGGGCAGGAGACCAAAGTGAACACTCACTCATGGAGTTGTGGCTGGCCTTGAACTTGTGAGTAGCCAAGGCCGGCCTCAGCCTCCTGAGTGCTGGGATTACCTGTTTGAGGATTTCTAAGGGCCAGAGTACTGGGACATTTTTTCAAGTCCGTGTTCTACCGCAACATGTCTCCCTTTTCCTTCTCGACTGCAGCTGTGAGCATATTCTAGTTCATCAATAATCACAGTTACATTTCGCCTTCTGCAGATTATGGCTTTAATTTATTTCCATGGAGCATAATGTTTAACTGCGTATCTTGCTAGGGTGTGGAACCAGAGAGGGCTAATTTGAATACTTCTCACCGCTGAGTTCCTAACCTGGTACTCTAGACCTCTGTTTAGTGCCCTATGCTGTTTGCAACCTTGAGTCACGTGCAGCTTTTCCTGTACAAAGGTCCCCTTAGAGGAAGGGAGAAGTGGCAAAACTGCTTGTGCAGCCTGGCCTCCCTTTGCCCTACTTCTTCCTTTCCCTGACATGCCCTTGTTGGATGCTGGATCCAAAAGTCTTGAACTTGAGCAAAGAAAAGGTGGATGTGAACCTTGGCCCTCTGGGCTTTGCTCTGAGTTCAGGGGAGCTGAGAGAGGGACTAGGAGCAGACGCTGCTGTGTCGTGTAGGCCGCTACTTTGTGCTGAGCCCTTGGGCAGGGCCAGCTGGTTTCCACAAGCACACTTCGTCATAGTTGAGATTCTCTTTTTTTGTTGTTGTTTTTCTGGTACCGGGAATCGAACTCACGACCTTGCGCTTGCCAGGCAGGCGCTGTGCCGCTGCGCTAAACCCCCATCCTGCATCGATGGGCTTCTCAACCTGCTAGTTTCCTTGGAGCTGTTACCCAATCAAGCATTTGTGCGTTCTACCCTTATTTGGCGGCCACATTTTTTTCTTCGATTAATAATGGCTTTGATACTCTTTTGATTATTGATGACAAAATGTAGCCACCAACTTTTCCCTCTACAGAGCCAGTGTCTAAATTGCCGGTGATTTATCGATGTGCTGATTTTCTATTCTAACAATTTTTAATGTCATTTAACAATTTTATCCTCTTTACCTGTAACGTGCATTTTTTATACTTGTTACAGTACGTAAGGGGGGGAGTAAGACTTCAAATTCATGAGGCAAATGTTAAAGTAAAAAACAATGTTTTGATTTTTCTGATGGTCAAAGGGTTGCTATCAGAGTGGGCATCAGGGTGTGGGAGTGTGGATCAGCTTGCTGGTGTGTTGAGGGCTGGCCTGGGTTTGATCCCGGCACCTCTGCTGCACTGGAGCTTTGCTCGGGGTCCAGCTATTTGACTAGTTTTGAATGGCGATAAACTTTTCCCTGTGGGTCTCCCTCCTGAGCACCCGCACTCGTCCCTGGCTGCATCATCACTGGAAAGGATGAACCTCTTGGAATCCTTTCTTGTTACATAAATCATTGTTAAAGCATTCTGCTGCAGAATGTGGCCAGTTAGGCCCCTTCCCCGTCTCGGCTGCTCAGAACCCAGTCACTGCAGCGGTCGGCTCCTTCCCTCCAGTAGGGGTAAGTGAAGCCCTCACCATTGTTCGTAGGGGTGGTTGAAGACCGCGGGGGCGGAGGTCCAGCGCTGCAGGCTCGGGGAGGCGCTGAAGGTTACCCCTCTCCGCCCTCGCTGACGCTTGCCAGAGCCCGGCTGGCTGGTTCTGGAAAGCCCTTGAAACATGTCATTACGGTTCTTTCTCTTGAAACGGGGCTGCTGACCTAATTTGTGATGCACAAGACCTGGCCGGATCCTGCGGCACCCCCGCCCCCACTTGAAGGGAAAGTGTTAGTAAAAAGTGTTCAGCAACATCACTGATTGAAGTTTCATAATCTCGGCTCATAAAGATGATAAAAAACACCCAAGCGGTCAAGGTTTTCTGAGGGCAGAAGTAGGATTTAATTTTGAGCATTTCTACGTTAAGTGGCATGTGGTTGGCACAATTTGAAAGCGTAATTCTGGTCTCCAAACGCCCGGGTCCTCCTAAATATTTAGGACAGTTTCATAACACCGTAGGGGTTGTATGTACCAAACCCTCCTAAGTTGATAGCTCATGCGTTCCTCCCTGGCTTTTTGTAGTCATAATTTCTTTTCCACACCTAGTTCAGGAAGGTGATGTATTCTGGATTGCACTAGTGTTTAGGAGCCGGCTCTGCCTGAGTTCAAGTTCTGCGTCTTCCATAGGTCAGTTTAAAAAACCGCACGATCCCTGGTGTAAAGGCACAGATGGTGATGGCTGCATGATACGAATGCCCTAGATAAAGGTTACAGATGTTCCCAGCCTTGTAGCAGAAAAGATTTTACTTTCCTCCGTGTCAATCAGATTAAAATCGATGCTAGGTGCTGGGAGCGTGGTTCAGTGGTGGAGTATTTACCTAGCAGGCTCAGGGTCCTGGATTTGACCCCTGGCACAGGAAAAAACTGCAATCACCATACTGGGTTGTTCCTATACTCAGTGATAGGGTTCTACCTAACATTGGGTGATACTCTGGACTTTCGGCCTTTTAGGGGTTTGACGGAGCTTTTGGAGGGACGGACCCAGCCTGAAGAAGCCCCCAAAGATGACATTTTCTGGGCAGCTGTTGACCTTTGCAGCTATCCTAGTTAGTGTGAGTTTTGAGTCCACTGTGTGCCTTGCACTGAGTGCCCCTGGCCAGGATACCTTGAGCACTGGCTCGCTTATCTAACTTCTAGGGGCCGGAACAGTCACCTGGGCCGCCCCGCCCCTGCGGTGACAGCTTCCTGGGAAGCTGGTTAGAATAAGCTGCCAGGCTCACCCTAGCTTTAGAACTTGAACAGGTTTGGGCAGAAATGTTGGAAACATCACGCATAAAAACGAAGGAGGAAAGGGTGGATGACAGGAATACAAACACTTCGAATTCAGTGAAAGGTCAGAGTAGCTCTGATTGTAACGGCAAACTACACCGGTTTTAGGCAAAGCTTGGGATACAGGAGAAATGTTAGAAAACTATAGAAATGAAAAGTTTTAACCCTTTGGCTTAGGCAAAGTTTTAGGTGACTAGTGACAATTACTGCACTGGATTCTGCCTGTCCCCAGGCAGTGTCTCGGTCCTTCAGGGCAGATAGTAACTTAGCTTGAAACAAATTGCCTTCCTCCCTCCCTCCCTTCCATGTAACCTTTTTTGGCGGCGAGGTACCGGGAATTGAACTCATGACCTTACGCTTTCCTGGCAGGCGATGTGCCGCTGAGCTGTATTTCCAGCCCCTTTCCATGTAACTTTAAAAAATAACTTCCCCTAGTTACAGAGACAATGCTGATTTTAAAAAAATTTGAAAAACAGAATACCGCAAAGATTAAAATAATAATCTGTGTCTGGAGGTATAGCCCAGTGGTAAAACACTCGCCTATCAGGCAGGATGCCCTGCTGTCCTGGGTCAGTCCCTACCATCAATAATAATAAACCAAGACCCCATGATTGGATTATACAGCTTGGCACAGACAGGAATTCGTAACCTCAAGAACCTGAGCCCAGGGACATCTGAAACTACACAAGCTTTACTGTGAAATACATGTGTGTGCTTTTCTGAGAACGGCTCACTCAGCATGATGAAAACTAGGTTTACAGGGCAGGGGATGTAGTTGTTTTGTTTTTTTTTTGTTTGTTTGTTTTGTGGTACCAAGAATCGAACTCACAACCTCGCGCTTGCCAGGCAGGTGCTGTGCCACTGAGCTAAATCCCCAGCCCCTCAATTTCTTAACTTTATTTTGCTGTAATTTGACTACACTCAAATTGAACAAGAGTTTTGTTTTGTTTCGATTTTTTCCTGGTACTGAGAATCGTGAACAAGAGTTTTTAATCATCTTTAAAAGATGACACTTGCTTGGCATTGCTATAGTTTTTATTTATTTAATTTTATTTCTTGAGATGCGGTCTTGCTATGTACAGCTCAGGTTGGCCTTGAACTCATGATGATCCTCCTGCCTCAGCCTCCCGAGTGCTGGGATTACAGGGGAGTGCCCCCACACCTGGTGACGCTGTTACAGTTTTTTGTTCATTTAGCTGGTTTTGCTGTGCTTAGGCTTGAACCCTGGGCCTTGCACATGCTAGGCAAATGCTTTACTGCTATCAAGAGGCCCTTAGGTTATGGAGGGGTGTTCTTGAAGGGAACTGAGGGTTCCTGGTTCCTTTCT